ACATCAACTCCCCATTTCCCTCTCTTCCAGACCCTGGCAATCATCATGCTACCTAATGTTCCTAAGAGTTTGACTACTTTAGATGCCTTCCTGTAAGTGAAGTCGTGCCTTTGGGGACTGGGTTATTTCACTTAGCATATTGTCCATGTTGTAGCTAAATTTCCTAATTTCTAAAGCCCGAATAATATTTCATCATATTAATATACCATATTGTCTTTATCTTTTCATCTGTGGGTGAACATTTATGTTGCTTTTACTTCTTGACTATTGTAAATAATGCTGCAGTTTACAAATCTCGCTTTAAGATCCTGTTTTCAGCTCTTTTAGATATACACGCATGTGTACACCTATGTAAAAAACCTGCACGATCTGCACATATACTCCAGAACGTAAAGTATAAGAAATAAACAAACAAATAAATAAATAAATAAAGTAAGGTTGCCAGATCACTGGTGATTCTATTTGTAATTTTTTCAAGAAACCCCATGCTGCTTTCCATAATGGCTGTACAATTTTACATTCTCTCAAAGGTTCCAGTTTTTCCATATCTATGCCAACCTTTGTTTTTTTTTTGTCTTTTGTTTTTATCGACCATCCTAATGGGTATCCAGTGATACTTCATTGTGGTTTTATCTTGCATTTTCCTGATGACTAGTAATGTTGAAAATTTTTTAATATGCCCTTTGGCCGTTTGTATGTCTTCATGAAGGAAACATCTATTCCACTCCTTTACCCACATTTTAATCAGATGAATATTGTCATTTTTGAGATTTAGGTGTTTTTTCTTTTTTTTTTTATTCTGGATATTAACCCCTTACCAGATACATAATTTGCAAATATTTCTTCTGTCCTACATATTGCCTTCACTGTTAATTTTATAGTATATTACACTTTATGAAGCCTGATAATAAGCTTTTTCTTGAGCTTCTGCGTGTTGCCTAAAGAAGGTATAATCTAGTATCAATGCAATAAACAAAATCTGAAATCTTTACTTATCACTGTTACTCACAAACTGTGAGACTTTAGAAGAGTTAAACTTGACGAGTTTTTTTATTTACAAAGCAAAGAATATGGGTCGAAATATATTTGTAGCCAAATGGCTCTGTGTGTCGGTTATACCCTAGGCCTCGGCAAGCTCCTTGGCATTCAAATGCTTTTAAGCTAGACCTGGAAGCAACATAAATAAATAGATAAATAATTCTGAAATAGTTATCAAAGTAAATGATTATTTTTCCAAAGAAATTGATATTAGGGGCCTGGCACAGTGGTGCACACCTATAATCCCAGCACTTTGGGAGGCCATGGTGGGCAGATCACTAGATCAAGAGATCGAGACCATCCTGGCCAACATGGTGAAACCCCGTCTCTATTAAAAATACAAAAATTAGCTAAGTGTGTTGGTGTGTGCCTGTAGTCCCAGCTACTCAGGAGGCTGTGGCAGACAGAGTTTCCAGTGAGCAGAGATAGCACCATTGCACTCCAGCCTGGGTGACAAAGCGAGACTTTGTCTCAAAAAAAAAAAAGGGAAGAAAAACAAAATTGATATTAGGGTGCTGTGGCTTTCTGTGGATGACAGTTTACAATAAAAGTCTGGATAATGAGGAGTAAGAAGCTTCCTGGCTTAGCAAAGTGACAACTGCATTGGAACAAAATAACACGTTCAGTACTGAAATGTCTCCCCTGGGTAAGCAAAGCCAGCCAGGGTGACGTCAGGGTGCTTGTCCAATATCCAGTGCCTGAATACGATTTCATATGATTTCATATCAGAGGAAAAACTCAAGAACCGCAGCCTTGCTGTCAGAATTTGATGTAGTTAACAATGCCTCTGTTAATCTCAGTTACCTCACCTTTAAATTCAAAGGGTTGGTGTGGTTGGATATTATTCAGCAAAAGAAAGGCAAACATCAACAACAAAAACCAACTACTTGCACAGGAACCTAATTCATTATGCCAAGTGACAGAAGCCACACTCAAATGACAAAGAATTGAAAGATTTCATCACCTGTAATATCCAGAGTAGGGACATCTGTAGAGGGAGAAGTTAGAGACGTGATTATCAGGGCTGGGAGTGGGAACAAACATTGTCTGCAAATACACATGTGGAGTTTCTGGGGTTGATTGAAAGGCTCAGAAACTTAACTATTGTGATGATTGTAGAACTCGTTGTATTTACTAAAAAATTATTAATTAGACAAATAAAATGGTGAATTTTATGACACGTCTGTTCAAATTCAACAAAGCTGATAGAAAAAATAGAAAAAAAAAAAAAAAAAAAACCTTGGTAAACTCCCAAAGGCTTTTCTCAGGTCACAAGTATTCTGTTTCTATGATCTCAAGTATAATTTTCACAAATTTTATTTTCTGTATTGTCTTTTACTTTTCAGTTAAATTTAGGTATTCTTTCTCTAAGGGCCTGAGCCCTACAAAGGTATTTCTATTACGGTTCTTTTGAAAGATGTGCCAAACTTTTATGCACTTTATATTGTCCTTGTGTCCAGCTCTAAAAAAGCTCTTGACAGTCGTACTATATGCCATGCAGTTCACTCTGAAGTTTACCTAAAGAAGCATCGTTGCTTCTATATAGAGATATAGAAATAGTTCAAATTCTATGTACGGATGTAGAATTTGACTATATATAGATATAGTTCAAACTATACATAGATATAGTTCAAATTCTATATAAAGACATAGAATTTGACTCAAACCAATCTTTCCAATCCTCTAAGTAACACAAGTCTTGAAATTTTGGCAGATTCACCCTTCTAAAAGGGACATGGATGAATCTGGAGAACATCATTCTCAGCAAACTGACACAAGAACAGAAAATGAAACACCGCATATTCTCACTCATAGGCGGGTGATGAAAAATGAGAATACATGGACACAGAGAGGGGAGTACTAAACACTGGGGTCTATTGGGGGGAAAAGGGGAGGGCCAGTGGGAGGGGGAGGTGGGGAGGGATAGCCTGGGGAGAAACGCCAAATGTGGGTGAAGGGGTGAAAGCAAACAGAACACACTGCCTATGCAACTGTATTGCATGCTCTGCACATGTACCCCAAAACCTAAAATGCAATAAAAAAATAAGAAAAAAAATGACTTATACGCATCTACACCTTTTAAGAAACCTGTGATAATTTAACCACTCCTACTTTGCCCTTGTAAGCGGAAAGGACCTGCTCTATTTCACAATAATCAGCTTCCTCTAGGGAACAGACAATGAGAAACATGAGTTACTAGTGTTCTTAGCAGAAGTTATTTTGCCTGTTAAAAATAAATTTATGTATCTTAATTAACATCATCCTCTTATTCAGAATATTAAGACTTTTTGAAGATTAGCCATGAAATAAAAATAATGGATAAAGAGCTAATGGGTAGATTTTGCAGTGAAATGCATGTACACACACAAACACACACACACACACACACACACACACTTTTTTGCCCCCCAAATGCTTTTTTCAATAATGTTGAAATTCCATGTACCTGTAGTAAGTCATAAGACATAAAAATGAACACATAAACTTGGCAAAATAGATATTGACTTCAAGTCCCTTCCTTTGTCCTTCCTTTCTTTCCTTGCTTCCTTCATCTTTCTAAACAAACTCTGTAAACTCTGTGAGGTGAGGGATGAGGTAGGATTTTACTTTCCATCAACTGACCAGCAGTTATCCATGAACCTTGCTCAATAGATACTGTGAGTGACTGAGGGACTGAGTGACCAACTGAGTGAGAAAGAGAGTGAATAGTTTACCCTGACCTCTTCACAGTAATGAATTCCAAGAAATAAAACTGTTTAAGCTCAATCTGGTCTCTGTTATTACATGGCATAGTGAGGGAGACAAATATTCAACAAATAATTATGCAGGTGAGGATCACAAGAGAGTAAATAAAACAGATATATACTCCCCTCAGTTACTGTTTATACCAGTGATCCTCATCCATAGTACATATTAGAAACCGTGAGGAATTTATAGGGAAAGTACTAAAGACCTACACATGGGCAAGTTAGAATCGCTGAAAATGTTTCTGGGGCATTGGTATATATATTTTGAATATATTTTCAGATAATTATAATAAGCATAAACTCTTCTGTTTTATGAATTGATGATAATGTAGTCCGGACATGGGTGCAGACACCTCTGCTGTCCTGCAGACTCTGATTGGCTGCTAACCTGCTGGTTTAGACTACACATGTAGGAATCTGACTCTTTGCATGCCAAACTTCCCTGAGCCTCCTATAGACCTCTTACATGGTCCTCAATATAAAGCCTTAATGAACGAGCTTATAACAGCAAATAATGCTACCATCTGCCTAGTCTTCAAAGGTGTAAAGAAATGTCTCTGACTTATCTCTGTCTACATCGATTTGCATAATGTTTTCAATACCACCATATTTATTTTTAAAGTCATTTTCCCAATCTAAACAGCTGTTGTGAGACTCCATAATCTATGATCTGGTGACTGTATTAGCATCTGAAATATTGTTTCTCCCACTCTATAATTTATTCCACTTGCTCTTAGAACAAAGTTGTCATTCTACAATACATATCATGTTATTCTCTGTTTTAGAAAAAATAGTGAGTAAAGAAAATTTCCTTCAGAATAGTCAATTGCAGAAATTTTAAGTTCTTTAAGATTTCAAACACATTTTCTTACATAATTAGAACCTAACATAGGCTTTCAATCTCTTCCTTCTCAGCTTCCTTCTTCTCTGCCAGTCTCTGCCCACTATGTCATTTGTTTTAATCATATTTGTTTATTTTAACTTTATTTTATTTATTTATTTATTTATTTATTTATTTTGGATGAGCACGGGGACTTTATTGATGGTACACGGCAAGGTGGGGCTCCCTAGACCCCTCCCTCTTCAAGGGGTCTGCATGGAAACTGTGAGGAGGGGTAATTCAGTGTGGTGGGGGACTCAGTGTGGCAGGAACTCCCCAGCAGTGAGGGCCTCTCTTCCTCTCATGCTCTCACTGGGGCTGGTGGTCCAGGGATCTTACTCCTTGGAGGCCATGTGGGACATGAGGTCCACCACCCTGTTGCTGTAGCCAAATTCATTGTCATACCAGGAAATGAGCTTGATGAAGTGGTCGTTGAGAGCAATGCCAGCCCCAGCATCGAAGGTGGAAGAATAGGTTTTGCTGTTGAAGTCAGAGGACACCACCTGGTGCTCAGTGTAGCCCAGGATGCCCTTAAGGGGGGCCTCCGATGCCTGCTTCACCACCTTCTTGATGTCATCATAGCTGGCAGGCTTTTCCAGATGGCAGGCCAGGTCCACCACTGACACGTTGGCAGTGGGTACATGGAAGGCCATGCCAGTGAGCTTCCCGTTCAGCTCAGGGATGACCTTGCCCACGACCTTGGCAGTGCCAGTAGAGGCAGGGATGATGTCTTGGAGAGTCCCACAGCCATCATGCCACAGTTTCCCGGAGGGACCATCCACAGTCTTCTGGGTAGCAGTGATGGCGTGGACAGTGGTCATGAGTCCTTCCACGATACCAAAGTTGTCATGGATGACCTTGGCCAGGGGAACTAAGCAGTTGGTGGTGCAGGAGGCATTGCTGATGATCTTGTGGCTATTGTCATACTTCTCATGGTTCACTCCCATCATGAACATGGGGGCATCAGCCGAGGGGGCAGATATGATGACCCTTTTGGATCCCCCCAGCAAGTGAGCCCCAGCCTTCTCCATGGTGGTGAAGATGCCAGTGGAATCCACCACGTACTCAGCGCCAGCATCACCCCACTTGATTTTGGAGGGATCTCGCTCCTGGAAGATGGTGATGGGATTTCCATTGATGACAAGCTCCCCTTTCTCAGCCTTAACAGTGCCATGGAATTTGCCATGGATGGAATCATACTGGATCATGTAGACCATGTAGTTGAGGTCAATGAAGGGATTATTGATGGCGACAGTGACCACTTTACCAGAGTTAAAAGCAGCCCTGGTGACCAGGTGCCCAATATGAACAACCTTCCCCATAGTGTCTCAGGGATGTGGCTGGCGATGGGAGACAAGATGTGGCTGTCTGTCAAACAGGAGGAGCAGAGAGCTTTAACTTTATTTTTATATACTAAGTAAACATTGTGTATTTTTATGATGGACAACATGAGGTTTTTATGTATTTGTACATTGTGGAATGGCTACCTTAAGCTATGTAACATATGTATTACCTCACAGAGTTTATTTTTGTGGTCAAAGCAGTTAAAATATACTCTTTTGGAAATTTTCAATTATTATATATATATAATGAATTATATATATTATTATATATATATAATATATAATATAAATATGTGTGTGTGTGTATATATATATATATATTTTTTTTTTTTTTTTTTTTTGAGACGGAGTTTCGCTCTTGTTACCCAGGCTGGAGTGCAATGGCGCGATCTCGGCCCACCGCAACCTCCGCCTCCTGGGTTCAGGCAATTCTCCTGCCTCAGCCTCCTGAGTAGCTGGGATTACAGGCACGCGCCACCGTGCCCAGCTAATTTTTTTGTATTTTTAGTAAAGACGGATTTCACCATGTTGACCAGCATGGTCTCAATCTCTTGACCTCGTGATCCACCCGCCTCAGCCTCCCAAAGTGCTGGGATTACAGGCTTGAGCCACCGCGCCCGGCACAATATATTATTAACTATAGTCATCATGATATGCAATACCTCTCTTGAATGTATTTCTCGTAACTGAACGTTTATATAGTTTGACAAACATTTCTCCACTCATCCCACTCTCAGCCTCTAGTTATCACCAGTTTACTCTGTTTCTATGAGTTTTACTTTCTTAGAGTCCATACAGAAGTGATACTGGATAGCATGTGTCTTCCTGTGCCTGGGTTATTTCATTTAAAGTAATGTCCTCCAGGTTAATCCATGTTATCACAAATAACAGAATTGCATTTCTTATTAAAGCTGAATAGCATTTCATTGTGTATATATCCCACACATTTTCTTTATCCATTCATCCATTGATGGACACTTAAGGTTGATTTGGTTTCTTTGCTCTAATGGATAATGTTGCAATGAACATGAGAGTACAGACATCTCTTCAATGTAACGAATTCAATTTCCTTTGCATATAAACCCTGTAATGGACTGCTGGATTATATGGCAGTTCTGTTTTTAATTTTCTAAGGATATTCCATATTGTTTTCCAGAATAAGAACGACCATATTAATTTACATTTCCTTCACCAGGGTACAAAGGTCTCCTTTCCTCTATGTGCTCACCAACATACCTCAATCAATGTACCTGATTTTTAAACCTCCCCTGACTTGAATACACTGTGTTTCTGACCTGAAATCCCTTTCTCTTATATCACTGACACACTTCATTACCTAGCCAGAAACATGCCTATATTCCTTCAAAAAATGTAAACTAATTTATAAATCCTTACTTTTTTTCTGTTCCTTGGAGATTTTTAAAGCATGACATTGGTTTTAGTAGAGGAAATAAATCAGTTTCAGACCTTCCAATCCTAATTACATGACCAAAAGTAAGACTTATATTAAAAAATAAATTTCCTTTATAGCTTATAATTTTTTTTTTTTTTTTTTGAGACGGAGTTTTGCTCTTGTTGCCCAGGCTGGAGTGAAATGGCGCGATCTCAGCTCCCCGCAACCTCCACCTCCTGGGTTCAGGCAATTCTCCTGCCTCAGCCTTCTGAGTAGCTGGGATTACAGGCACACGCCACTATGCCCAGCCAATTCTTTGTATTTTTAGTAGAGACGGGGTTTCACCATGTTGACCAGGATGGGCTCGATCTCTTGACCTCGTGATCCACCCACCTCGGCCTCCCAAAGTGCTGGGATTACAGGCGTGAGCCACTGCACCCGGCCAGCTTATAATTTTATATTTTTCTTTAACATCACCAAGAGACTGAGTCATTGATTACCTACAAATGAGTATTAGAAAAGTTGTGGATATTGAATATGGCTGCTTCTTATCAACCAAAATTCTGGAGCAACATCATAACCATAGCTTATAATCAGTTAAGTATGTCATAGAATATAGCAATTTTTAAGTATATTTACAGTGTAACCTGTGGAAAAAGTTCATATGTGTATTTCTTGCTGGAGAACTGTTAAAAGCCTTTGAAACAGAGCAACTCCATCTTGAGTAGGGGCTGGATAAAATGAGACTGAGACCTACTGGGCTGCATTCTCCGATGGTTAAGGCATTGTAAATCACAGATGAGAATGGAGGTTGTCACAAGATACAAGTCATAACAACCTTACTGATAAAAGAGGTTGTAATAAAGAAGCCCGCTAAAACCCACCAAAACCAAGATGGCAACAAGAGTGACCTCTGCTTGTCCTCACTGCCGCAAGCCCACCAATGCCATGACAGTTTGCAAATGCCACGGCAACGTCAGAAAGTTACCTATGTGGTTTAAAAAGGGGAGGCATGAATAATTCAGCCCTTGTTATCTTATTATCGAGAAATAACCATAAAAATGGGCCAGCAGTCCTCCAGGCTGCTTGCTCCATGGAGTAGCCATTCTTTTATTCCTTTGCTTTCTGAATAAACTTGTTTTCACTTTACTCTGCGGAATTGCCCCGACTTCTTTCTTGCGTGAGATCCAAGAACCCTCTCTTGGGGTCTGGATTCAGACCCACTTCCAGTAACAGAATTGTTCTTATGAAAGATTATGATCTCAAATATTCATAGTCATGAGTCTTTGTAACATGCTGTTCTTCAATATTTTTCCAATAATTGTGACTGGAGAATATATACTATGTAATTACTATAGACAATTTAATAATATAGCTAGAGCTGGAGCTTTTTTGGTACCTAATTTATAACTTAAAGAGCCACTGAAAATTTTAACAACCAGGAAGTCCGCATATCATAAGCTACAGTCACCGTGAAAAGTTTGGGAGATAAGTGGTAGAAATGCGGTTTCCTCACATAATAAAGCAGATTATTAAATTTCCTAAAATAAGTAATCCCAAAAGAACGGTCATATATTGCTAACTTCATGAGTCACCCTGAAGACTCACTTCTATTTAGAGAGTGAATCTCCTGGATTAGAAGATTTGCATTTAAATGGTATTCTCTCCCTTTGCAGCTACAGGTTTCTGCGTAGGATAATACTGCTTTTGCTTTGTGTGGCACATCCATAAAGGGTCTTAATAAATCCCACCATTGTGATGATTCTAGAGTTTGTCAAAAGACTTTTAAGCTATTCTAACAGATGCATCTGAAATAGGGTTTTCTGTATTTCCTTTTGGGAGTTTTTAAGGATCATTAGGAAAATTAGCTATTTCCCCACAAGACATATTTATAAATTAAAAATAAAATGCCACCCATCTTCTTAGTGAATTAAACAAAACACAGATTTGAAATCTAGCCACTAATTTCAATAGCAAAATAGGTAATAGTTTAACAATTATAAAAATAGCCTTCCTAATTTTGTAAGCATTTTAGTCCTAAGTATTTGAGAAGTAAATAATAAACTAAAGGGAACATTACCAAGAATTGTGGTGTTGAAGGATTCTCGTAACACCTCAGAACTCAGATTATTTTGAATAACATCCCCATTTTAGAAATGACTTGACCAATGGCAAAAAGGAAGAATCATGGGTAGAATAATGTAAAGGATGCGGTAACATTTGTGGTGGATTGTAGATATTTGTCAATATCAAATGTTTTTTAGAAGTGTCACAGACTTAATTCAATGTGCTACTATAGCAAAAGATACATGCAATGGAAATGCCTATTTGAGTTCGTTGAGAGAGAGAGGTAGAAAAACTCTGTACACTTTTAAACCCCTTTTACAAAAATTATGACAGAGAAACCTGACATAGGAAAAACATGGAAGTGGAAGAAATGTGACCTAACTTATTCAATCTTGCTTCTAACCTCCAAGCTGCCCTTGTTCATTCCTGGGCATAGGCCAAGGTAATTATGGGAATAATTTACTTTACAGTTTACTTTGCAATAAAAATGATAACAGCTCCTCTCCCAAACTAACTCCCTCCTTGCCTGGGGACCAGACTGCCTTTGTAAAACAAAGAGATAGCCACAACATTAGAAATTATACCTCAAGGGTCATGCATCCAGAGGACACAAGATTCCTAGCCTCCTCCATTGCTCCTGTAGATAACATTATTGTTGTAAAATCTGTAATTGGGATCTGAGGTATTCTCAGACTGAGCATTCTGATGGACCAGCTGGTAACACTCAGACCAGTTAACTGGCACTTTTGGTCTTCAGGCCCGGACCCAGAAACTGACTCAGCCCAAGAAGACAAGCTCCTACTCCCTCTGATTTCATCCCCAAGCTACCCAATCAGCACTTTCCATTCTCTAGGCCCTTGTCTACCAAACTATTCTTAAAAAGACATAGCCTGTGAATTTTCAGGGAGCCTGATTTGAGTAATAATAAAACTCCAGTCTCCCATGTAGTCTGTTCTGCTCTTATTAAACTATTTTTTGTTGCAATAACAGTGTCTCAGTACACTGGCTTTCCTGGGTGGTGAGTAAGAGAAATCCACTGGGCAATTACACATATCCTATCTCCACAGTCTATGTGTGTGCATGCGTGTGCCATAAACCATTCTTGAAATACACAAAAGTAGACTTTAGCAAATGGATAGACCCCTTGCTCTTAGTTGAAATGTCTTGAAACATCACAATTTTAATTCTCCCTAATTTGGTTTAATTGATAATTTTATTTTGATTCCAATAAAAATAAAATCCTTTTTTTTCTTTAGGGTAGTAACCTGATACTAAACCATACTTAGAAAAAATAAGCACACAAATACGTTTAGAAAAAAAAAAAAAAAAACCTGCATAGAAAGAACAATAAAGCATGCATCCTGTCACATGTTACAATCTTCTTGATAATTTCTTTAAAATAAAATAGAATTTAAAAGATGTGGTATTTTCACAAAAGCAGACAAAACTGAGACAGAATCCAATCCAGAAGAATACATAACTGTCTACAAAATCC